GTACATCCTCTGGTCTAGCCAGATTTGTAAGGCAGAATTAGGATCATGATAGTGGTGGGGAGGAAGCATTCAAGAACTAGAGGAAAGTTGTATGTTTCCTCGTTGCTACCCTGCACTAAAGAACTCTTTTTGAAGAGATGTTACATGTTTTGGTTTCTCAAATGACAATTACGTGTCTGTACATTTCTCTCTTTCTATGTATCTGGAAGCGCATACACGCAGAGCCACACAAGTACACACAATGAAGCCCTCCCTCCATCCATCGCTAGCATGCCTCTCAGACGCAGCCTGTTCCCCATCTCATCTTTTGCCTTCCTTGCTCCCCAGGGCTCTCTGCGAGCACTCCAAAGAACGCTGCGAGGCTGTGCTGGCCGTCGTGGGTTTGCAGTGGCCTGAAGACACACAGTGCAGTCAGTTTCCAGAGGAGAATGCCGACAACCGCACCTGCCTGATGCCTGATGAAGACGTGGAAGGTTCGTTTGAACATTAACATTAACTAACATGAAGGGACGTGCCAGCTACCTTTTGAAGTCTCACCTTCCTTCCGCCCTCCTCTCCAGTGGAAAATCAGGTTGCATAGAAGAGTGAACTTAGGAACCGATTGCAGTGAAGGAAGGGAGCTCACTTCTTAGACATTTCCATCACTTTATAAAGGAATGGCAAAGATGAGTTTAATAGTCCAGCTATGTCTCATTTTAAGCACATTTAACCCCAAAAGTCCATTAATTAGGGGCCCTGACGGCAATGGGTGAATACTGAGCCTTGGTTTCTCCATGTGCCAAATCGTCGGGGATCTGAGCAGCACGGGCTCCTGGAGGAGAGACGCGGAGCTGCTCACCAAATGGAAAGACTGGGACACAGACGTCATTTTGACGTCATGAGAATCGTTGGGCAGTAAGAAGCGTTGACTCAGAGGGATGGTTCAGGCTCGGCTAATCAGGTTATCCATTTGCAAAGATGGTTCATTACCGGGAAGGATGAATACCCTAAACAGTTGATCAAGGGAGTTGATACCAATGATAGAGAAAGGACCCGATGATCAGATGGAAGAAATAAACGTTGGTTGCTTCAGCTTTGGGGGGGGATCCGCCTTATCTTTAGTAACAGTTTCTGGACTACATTCCATGTGTATCTAGATGGGTTAGCTATGTCTGGGTTTCTACCCCTCGAGAGTAATGTGGCCCATATGACACGCGGTTTTCACAGAGTGCTCACCTAGCCACTTCAAGTGTCGCTCTGGACGATGTGTTGTGGCGTCCAGAAGATGTGATGGCGACGCTGACTGTGATGATGACAGCGATGAAGAAAACTGTGGTAGGTACAGCAGGTGGCGTTTCACGTGCATGTATGTACACCACTACCTGGTTTTAAATGGTTGTTGGTAATGATTGGGATCGATGCTAACGTTTCTACTTAAATTATCCACCTTAGAGGGATGGAGTTGATAAGTGGTTTTTGTCAGTGAACACTATTGCTTTTCCCCCAGTTGCACCCCTATGGGTGATCTGTTTGCAAACAGCTGAAGGAGAAGTGCTTCACCAAGGTCAGAGATTAATTTCATTCTTATTAATTCTAAAGTCATTGTCATCCTGCTTTAAAATCAGAATATGATATTCGGTGCTTGTCCGTATGATTTCCATGCTATTAAGTAGGCATGGGAATACTTTCAAAGGCAGAGTTCAGGCTTCCATGTTCCAATTTCATCAGGATTCATTTCCATGCCCTCTCTGATTTCACCTTTGTTGACAAAGAATAAAACTCTTCCTGACGTTTTCCGCTATCGAACTTCACAATCACCAATGGAAAGGTCAGAAATGCCATTGGTAATTTAAGTGGCTCTAATTCCCCTTTTATTTCCCTGCAATCCTTTATACTTGAAACCTCAGGGTGTGGCAGAGAATTAAAAGTGGGCAATGTTCTTTTCTGAATATTCTGGAATAGAACAAAATGATGGAAGAGCTCCTAAAGGCCCCTTTGGTTATGACTGTGTTAGCTTGTTCTACTTTAAAAATGTGTACATTTTTGACATTGAAGCCCATAAGATAATCCATCAAAAAATGATTTCATCCTTTTGGCCTTTGAGATGTGCAATAGTGCCTTGCACCCTCAAACGACCTTTCTGTGGTAGACGCTGCCCTTTTGGTCTAGACAAAATGTCAAGAGCAATCAAGTGCAATTCTATCATCTCCTGCAAACATGAGCCAGTGCATGTGCAGGACAGTGAGTGTCATCAGAATGATGGCCAGATGACCGGGGTAATTTTGTTAGGAAGGAACATACAGTGTTTTGAGAGCCATGGAAGATACTGTTGTTTGCTCATTTGTGGTCTTTGGGTACAGATATCAATCAGAGCTTATTGAATATCCCCTGGGCAAATGATTCATTGAGAAATGATTGGATTTGTTCACTAAGTTATGACTTTGATGGGTTCTGATGATTCTGGGATGCAGTTTCAAAGGAGTCAGGCTGCATGGTTCCAAGAGTTTACATGATACTCTCTCTATTGGAGACACGGGGCCTTGCTGGGTAGAAGGGGACTAAGTATTTGAGGATATCAAAGCTTTCTTGTTTGTTTTTTTAAATGTCCTGGTTACTAATAAAAGGCCAGAGATTTTGGGTTCCCCCCCCACACACACACACATTTTAGAAAAAAGAAATTCAAAGCCATTATATGAATTTAGGTTACATTTCTATTTAAGTAATGACTTTTGCCAGTATTTTAATTACACAGTTAAAAGTACACTGGGAATTGTTTAATCCTTATCAAATACTTAAATTAATAAAGACACTCGTATGTTTGGAGTTAAATCAATTGCTCCAAATAATTTATGAGAAAACTCATGTTAAGATTTCTAAAGCAACTAGTAATAGAAAATTAACATTCATTCCCCCATTGGCATGCATTGACGCAATTTGAATAGGGATGACCATCGCCCTGACGATGGTGGGCATTACATTTAAAGCCAAATAAGGAAGTCACATCATCCACTTCCCACTCGCCTCCTTTCTCTGTGTGTCTGTGTCTCCTTCCTTGTGAATAAGCAGATCACCTGGTAATGCAAATACCAGCTCAGCAATGCTGGGTTTCATCCAAGCTTTCTAATTGAGTCTGTCTGTTATAGCATTCAATGCGCTTAACTGCCTGGACCTCATTGGCCTCCACGGCCCAACTTCTGCCAAATGGCAAGATGTGCTTATTTCTCAGAGTCCGTGGGGAAGTGATCATTACAATCCAAGGTACTACCCAGCTCCAGGTTGCTTTTCCCTCCACAAACTGCACCGCTCACCGGGAGAGGGGGAAAGAAAACAGCACGAGCCCTTCCGACCCTTGACAAGATAGCCCTCCTCAGAGTACAAGGGAAAACATATATATATATATATGCCTAAACTGCATCCCCTCTGAGAGTAATTATAAGAGTAAGAGATAACATTCTTAATCACTACGTATCCACATTTCACTTGGCTAGTTTTAATTTTTATAACAACATTGCAGTTTAGGTCAGAGGAGCACTATTTTTCAAGTGAAGAACCAAAGCTTTGGGAAGTTAAGACTCACAGTTCTCAAGACTCACTGCTATGGAGTCAGTTCTGACTGGGAGTAGCCCTTCGGACAGGCTGAAAGTGCACGTTTGGGTTTCCTAGATAGTAAATCTTCTTGGGAGTAGACAGCCTCATTTCTCTCCTGAGGGGCCGCGGATGGTTTCGAATTGCTTGGCCTTGTGGTCAGCAGCTCAGGGCGGATCCAGGCTTCTCTGTAGAGTGAGAGTGTGCAGGGGGGAACGTGAACATAATTTTAAAGCCAGACACCTGGGGTTGAGTGTTAGCTCCAAATCTCACCTAGATTTGAACTCGAGCTGTGTCACCCGAGGGAGCTGCAGATATGCAAGCGTGAACGGCTCATTGTCACACTCAGGGAAGACATCAGACTCTCCCTCACACCTCCTGGGACTCAAGAGGGCCTGTCGTTGTCAGAGGTGATCCATGTCTATATCCCCGGCAAGTGGAAAACCTTATCATAATGAAACTTCCTTGGCTCACTGCTACCTTTTCAGAGTGTGAACAGTGGCTCACTGCCGCGCTGGCAATCGCACTGTTCGGTTTGGTAGTCCATCATTCATTCCAGCGCCCTCCAGCGGGCAGGAGAGCTCCCTGCTGAGAAAGGCCGTGTGGCTCAGTGTGAGAGAACGCTTCACGTCTGTCCTGTTCCCGAGCCCCTGCAGTAGATGTTCTGGGCTCTTGGATCCAAGATCACCTAGATGCACAACTAGCGAAATACTTTCACTCTATTTTTTTTAACGCTTTTAAAAACTCAAAAATTCATTTTACTTCATAGTGAAAAAAATCTTGACTTAATTTGGTAACTTCACCATAAAATAAAATAATAATAAAAAGTTTTTCTTGTGATGGGTTCCAAGAAACCTGTCAATTATTTTTGAGATTTCTCTGAATTTTCTGCAGTCAGTCAGATGGTCAATAACATTTTAAAAATGGAAACTCCTTATTTGAGCACTACTTTTTTTTTTAAGATAATTTTATTGGGGGCTCTTACAACAATCCATACATTCATTGTATCAAGCATGTTTGTACATATGTTGCCATCATTAGTTTCTAAACATTTACATTCTATTTGAGCCCTGGGTATCAGCTCCTCTTTTTATCCTCCCTACCTCCCATCCTTGTGATCCCTTGATAAATTATTATTATTATTTTCATATTTTACAGGGACTGCAGTCTCCCTTCCCCCAAGGTTTCTTCCCTCCTTTCCCCACCTTCTCCATACCCTGCTGGTATCACTGTACTCCCATTTCTGTTCCTGAGGGGTTTATCTGACCTGAATTCTGTATCCTGAACTCTTATCTATACCTGTGTACATTTGAGCACTACTTTCTATGTCATTGCCTAAATTATCTTTTCCTGGCAATGGGAGACTTTTTGTCCCTTACATGAAATAAAATTCCATTTAAAATAGGTGTGTGTTGAGGGCCTGCTGAGTGCTAGACGTTGCCCTCCACAGGGGGTGACAGGAAGCCAAAGAAGGGTGCCACTCTTTGATCTCTACCCTCACACGCCTGCCAGTCTAAATGAAGGCGGTAGCCCTGAGTGAAGTGGTTGGGCTGCATCAGACAATTAGAGTGTTTTAACAAATATATAAGATGCCAGACAGCGTGCGATGTAGCAACAATGAAAAATACAACTTTCCTCTAGTTCCTAAATGCTTCCTCTGCCCCCCACTATCCTGATCCCAATTCTACCTTGCAAGTCTGGCTAGACCAGAGGGTGTACACTGGTACAGATAGGAACTGGAAACACAGGGAATCCAGGGCGGATGATCCCTTCAGGACCAGTGGTGTGAGTGGCGATACTGGAAGGGTAGAGGGAGAGTAGGTTGGAAAGGGGGAACGGATTACAATAATCTACATGTGACCTCCTCCCAGGGGGATGGACACCAGAAAAGTGGGTGAAGGGAGACGTCGGACAGGGCAAGATATGACAAAATAATAATTTATAAATTATCAAGGGCTCATGAGGGAGGGGGGAGCGGGGAGGAGGGGGGAAATGAGGACCTGATGCCAGGGGCTTAAGTGGAGAGCAAATTTTTGAGAATGATGAGGGCAATGAATGCAGAAATATGGTTTACACAATTGATGTACGTATGGATTGTGATAAGAGTTGTATGAGCCCCTAATAAAACGATTAAAAAAAAAAGATGCCCTGTGTTTGAATAACATGGCATTTACAAAGTTTATCACAATTGCTTGCTGCTTGATAGGCAAATTACAGTTCAAATGTCAATGACCAGGAAGTCACTGTGCTGCTGTTGTGCTCAGTTCCACCGATCACCTATTTTACCAAACATGATCCCCTTTTCTAGCAGTCTACTTTCAGCCTCACCCTGCCCTCTTGGAACTACGTTCATTTCTCACGTGAATTAATACCGCATCTAACCTTATATTCGATATGTGACTTCTAGAAAGGAGTGGGTTCCATGGCTGGCTGGTAAGCCTGTTGTGCTAGATGGAAAGAGTCTCGCTTTTGACGGAACATGTAAGGAGGGGGCTTCAAAAAGTTTGTGGGAAAATCCCACTACATTTGAATTTTATTTTGTCAAGAATGACTTGCAGCCCCCTTGTAGGAGGCTTTCCTGTCTGACGACTGCAATTACATTTTAAAATCCGCATTTAGTTAACTAGGTTCTGGCATATTTGCTGAAAAGCATAACATCATTTTACAGGGAAGTATTTTGTGCTGGCAAATCAACTTAGAGAGCAGCAGGAACAGTGCAAGATGTGACTGTGTGGTCACCTTTCCATTTCCGAGATGTCACTTCTGATTTTCTCTTAGGACCATTCGTATTGCAACACAGAGATAATCGAGTATTTCTACTTTCAACATTATGTTATTCGTGGCTTAAAGGAGTCAAAACTCTTGAATAAAAATGAAAAATCATGCTTTTCTGCTGTAATCTGTCTACATTGTTTGACCCAATTAATCATCACTTCCCCTCCACATCTTCCACAATCTTTTCGTCTGTCTCCAGGTTGCAAAGAGAGGGATCTTTGGGAATGTCCGTCTAATAAGCAATGTTTGAAGCACTCGGTGATATGTGATGGCTTCCCAGACTGCCCTGATAGCCTGGACGAGAAAAACTGCTGTAAGTGCTTGCATGAATTTGTCAACATGACATTTTAATTTTAAACACAAATTACCTCTCTCCTTGGATACAAACGAGGCATATGACTGTTGTAACTTTGCATGCGTTCTAGTTTTTGACCAGAACATACACTTGTAAGAATAAATGCAATGAACCTGTGAGTACGTGGGGATAAGTTTATACACGATATTGTAATAGTATTATTTGTAACATGGAATAAGTTTAAAACACCCCAATACAGAATATATTTATCAGACAACCATAAAATGAGATGATTTGCAAACACTAAAAATTAGAGAAATAATTTCTTGTGAGTTCATGCTATATTACTAGTTCAAAAAGAAGTAACTAAAAAGTACTATATGTGCTATTCTCCAGAGTTTATAAAGTACTTATATCTACATATAGAAAAAGATCAGATGGCCATAATAAAACGTGTATCATTATGATCTCTGGATAGAGGAATGTTAAACTTCTTATGCTTTTCTTTCTTCTCTAGATTTTCTGAGAGAATAGTATTTGCTTTTAGAATTAGAACATAGTGTTATTTTATTCCTTTGGGTGTTTTAGCTACAAGAAATAGAAAACCTACTCCGAACTGGTTTAAGCAACAAAGATATTACCTTTTATAATAATGCATATACAAATTTCTTACATAGTTAGATAAAAGTGGCAGGAGCAGGGTGGATTATTAAGGCCTTTTCCAGGGCTGCTTTAGTTTTCCGAGGCGTCTTGCTGACTCCACAGGGTTGTAAGATGTCTGCCCATCGCTATATCAGGTGTGCCATACTTTCTCAATCACATCCAGTGGGAAAGACCTAGAATATAGTTCCCAAACTGATTTGGCCTACTGCCCACTTCTCAGGGGGGAAAAAATTACTTAGCAGCTCCCCTTTTTTATAAAATCGTTTTATTAGGGGCTCATAGACGCTTATCAAAATCCGTACATACATCAATTGTGTAAAGCACATCTGTACATTCATTGCCATCATCATTCTCAAAACATTTGCTCTCCACCTAAGTCCCTGGCATCAGCTCCTCATGTTTCCCCTCCCTCCCTGCTCCCCCCTCCCTCATGAG